TCATGAATAAAATTGAAATGTATTTGAAAACAATTTAATTTTGTTTATAAGTCTAGAATAAATATTATTTTTAAATGCAATATATTGATAATAACTAAAAGTTACCAATAACAATTTAGTATTGCTGATATTAAACCTGATATGAACAAAGATTGACACACTTCTGGTTCAATGTAGTAAACCCTGGTCCAATGTTGGACTAACAATGAAAATGAACCAACCTTTATTCCTACCATTGAATTAATGTTGTTAGTAATAATTTAATTTCGCTTAGAAATCAATCACGTGGAGCTTCAGGGTCACATTTATTTAACGATTTGTTTCTTTACTATAAAATTAGTATAAATTGGAATCCAACTTAACAAAATAAACATTTTAAATCTCGTGATATAAAAATAAATATACTTAAACTGTCAAACCCACGACAGTGATTATTTACTAGATACCAAGTTAATCAAAGTTAAAAATCTGATATTCACCATAAAAAAAATTTGACAACTTAAATCCCACCATTTTATTGGAATCTTTACGCAGTCTTTTAATAACTCCTAGTCACTATCATGTGACATCCTCCTACATTACTCTTTATGAACGTCACCAATTATTTTTATCGACAATTTTCACAAACTTGTTCAGAAGATCAATTCAATAATTTACCAAAAGACTGGAATTCTCTTTATACTTGATGATTTTTAGTATATAGTGATTTCACAAGCCTGTAATTTATTTTTAGGGCTTAAAAAGGGGGATAAAAATATTATGATCAGTTTAAATGATAGCCACTCATTGGGATAAATATAAATTTAGACATTCTATTTGAAAATTCAACGATAAAATAAGGTGGATATAAGAAAAGTAGATACACGAGAATCGATATCTTCCAAATTGGTATTCTCAAATTACTTAAAGTGATTGCATCGACAAAGAAATTTATATATCTGGTGGGTTTGTACTAAAGATAGTACAATGCCATTGAAAACTATTCAGTAAAATACCAACGTGCAATCTTCTTCAGATCAACTGATTCCTCAAATAGTGATTGCACTTTCTTATCAAGATCTAATAAATACAAGAAGAAAAATTATCTCGAAATAGTAGAGTTCTTATTTAAGAAAAACATCATTCTGTTCTCTCTTTGTACAATACAAATTTTCATCATACATAATTGATATAATTGGTTTTTATACATAGACGGAAGTTAAATAGCAAAAGAATAGTTTTATTGTCAAATCAAATAATGGAATATAAAAAAAATGGAGTAATAAATTTCGCAATAGAATAAACTTTCAGGAAACTTATTGAATGAATTTATCTGTGTTAAAAAAAAAAAAAAGATTGAATGGTCATAACATTGTCAGAACCCTAACATTTTTCACATGATGTTCAATGAAATAGAGAGATTGGCATTGAAGATATAACTAAGTGTTCAGATCTAAAAAAACAAAAAAAAAAACAAATTGAACAGATTTAACTGATAAAGAGAAGTAAAAAGAATGTAGGTTGGAGCATGTGGAAATGTTATCTTAGAACTCAGTCTCTTTAATTGTATAAGAAAGAAATATTGCAGTTGCATTGGAAATTAAAGTTTTATTTCACTTCATTTGTGTACTCTTAACTGATTTTATTCATTTCATTGAAGAAAATGAATAACAGTGTCTTGTAAATTTATTCCAAGTAGTTTAAAAACATTAATAAGTTTGTTGTCTGAAAGATATATTTATTGTATACTTAATGTACGTTATGTGATAGATAAAGATCAAAAGATTTTTAGGAATGCAGAATTCTCATTAAATGTTGTGAACTTGATCTTGACTATCAACGTCATCATTGCAGAGCTGAATCTTTGCAGGAAGGTATCCTAGTCTGACCATGTCTGTATCTACTTCTACTAGCAGAAAGGAAGGAAAAAGAGTAGGGAAGAGAATTCAACACCAGAAAGAGAATTAAATATCACTAACAATGAAGAAAAAAATTCCCTATTCTATTTTTACGACTACTATTGAAGTTTATTTTATTTTGAGGAAATAGCTATTTAATTAGTAGAGACTTGTGGTTGAATGGAATAACTAGATACTAGAGGTACTCTCAGAACGTAGAAAGTAAAAGGAATAACTACTGAATGGTTTCTCTTTTTTAATTGTTAGCTGTATTTAATTTTCAACTGTTAAATTCTCTTTATTATTTCTCTCTTCTTTTTATAATCAAAAGTAGATACAGACATGCTTAGACAAGATTATTATCTGGAGCTAAAAAATCGTATTATTTCTTATTCAAAAACATATTGTTGTGAATTTATAAAAATAATACGTTATTTTTTTGTAAAGAATCTTTCGTAATATTTCGTTTAAAAAATTCATGTAAAAGACAAAAATAAATCATCTTAGAAAACAATGAAGAAGTTGATATAGTCATTTGGCAAACTTACAATCAATTTTAAATATTTTTTTTTCTAAATGAGCATAAAAACTATTAAAAACATCTTTAAATTATATAAACATTCTTCGAAGTTATTTAAAAAATTTTTTTCAAATAATTTGTACTCAGGTTAAGTTATTTTTATCGCAGTTCTCATTTGATTTCAATTTACCTGTCAAGCAGAGTAATTTTTATCTAAAAACGATATTGATGCACAATGTTCTGAATGACTTGTCATGGTCTAATTAAATTAATTTGCGTCCTGCAGGATGTATGCAGAATAATTTTATTCCCATGAATTACTCTTTTTCCCACTCAAACCAAAAATAGTAAATAAAGTTTATTTTATTTCCTAACTTAGAGATAATGATGCTAAATAATTATTACTCGTCATTAAAAGAAAAAAGTCAAATTATTGATTATTGTTTTTATTTGGTAATAAAGCTTTTTTTATTTAAGTATAACTAAAAAAATTAAATCCATTTAATATCTATTCTCTCATCATTAAAAATATTATCTAAGTGATTGCGGTTCGTTTATTTACCTTGGAGTCATCAGACACTTACTGCGTGCGTAAACACTAAAAAATTAATAAAATTGATAAAACCGATAGATTTTTTGTTATCAAGCGGATCGACAAAAAAGGATGAGTGGTCTAGAAGACACATTCTATAGCTATCATCATTATCGATTATATGAAGGACTATATGGAATAAAAGATAATCTTGATGAAGAAAAAGCTCTAAGAGAACATCAATCACTTAGCTTAACGGCTTGAGTTGGCTTCTCAACCAACTCAACCTGATCCTGTGGCCTGTCATGACCTTCAGCGCATAGAAAAAAAGAAACAAACTGATAACATTAATCGAAGATTTACTATGTCCAGACATTTATCTGTCATTTAATGAGATCATCCTTCTAACTATGATGATTGTTGGCTAAGTTTTCCACTTGCAATTTTAAAAAAATATTGAACAGATTGAAATTGATGTATTCGATTAAAAGTTTTTGAAATTCTTGCACTATGTGGTTGAGTTTGTCTTGAATCCCCATTTGATTACTTTTGTTACTTTATGAGATAGTTAACTTTTTGTTCAATCTTTTGCATTGGAATATAGGCTATGTATGTAAGAAAAGTAATAACTAGGTGGACCAACTTTTTTCATTTACTTTGTCGTTTCCTGTATGTGAAGAATTTTAAAATTAAATTTTCATCCCTGTATTAAAACAAAAAAAGGATATTTTTGTGGTCGTTCTCACAAATAGCATAAAAAAAATTATTTTTATACGAAAATAATCAAAGTAAAATTGTTTTTTTTGTTTTAAATACAATTTTTATTCCATATTTTAATTCTTTCTCATGGGATTTTTTTTGCAATGAGGTTATGAATAAATCAGAATTTTATTTTCTTGACCACTTTTAGAGTCCTTTGAGATTAGTCGAATGAAAACTAATGGATTTTTTTTTACTCCAAAATTGAAAACAAATAAATTTTAATCAATAAACAAGCATAAATCACATGAAAATGATTACTTGTTCGAAAAGAAATTAATTGAAGTTTACATTTGGAAGAAAAAAAAATATTGGGATCTTAGGGGAAGAAAGGGTGAGTTAGAATATGGAGATAAGAGGTGGAACGCTCAAAAAAAAAATTTTATGATCTATTATCTATTTTTAATATCTATTATATTCATTAATACATTAATACACGCTTTGCTTCACTCCACCCTCCCTTTCCTTCTGTCCCAGTTTGCTCTTCCTCCCCCTAATATTGTTCTTCACCTATGCCAAAAGTTCTCTTTTCTATTTGAGACGTGTGAAGCTTTCAGCATGGGTATGGTAAAATATTAAGCTCTTGGTAGGACAATTGGATCAATTCAAACCACATATTTACCAGCAGTAATCTTTTCTATGGTTTGAATCAATCCATTTTTCCTCCCTTATGTGTGGAATATATTAAATTTTGTGTGATTATTATAAACAAGATGGATTTAATTTAAAAATCCTATACGAATTATAAACAATAATTATTTAAAACAAATTCATATTAACATAAAAGTGTATTTTTAATTTAATAAATGTAAATGGAAGAAATGAATAAAGAAAAATATTCAACAAAAAAGAATTCCATCAAGCAAACAATTAATTTTCATTGAATTTTATAAACTACTCAAGTCAATTAAAATAACAAAATTAATAAAAAGTATGTTTTGATTCGATTGGTCCGTTGAAATAAACGACATTACTTTTAACTGGAAAAACAAACTATCTGAACTTGTCTGACATATGAAGAATTCTCTACTGCGATCTCATTTCGTTTACACACGTTTGAGGTACGAATTTAAGTACTGAATAAACAAAAAATTCTCGATGAATTGGTTAAGAAAATTTTTAAATAAAACATCAAGTAACATAGTTAGACTTTCTTTTAAATGTCAAAATAATAAAAGAGGATTCACAGATATCTACAAGAGATGCTCCGGAAGTTTAGTTTATCAAATCTATAAATATGTTAGACTACGTAATCTTCAGCGAAAAACTAAAATGACTATTCTCTTAATGCACAAAACTTATTGACACATACCTCCATTTCCACTTCCATTGTAGTTTGATTGAATGAGCCAAATTACTCTAGAAATCCTTTGGTGAAAATTTCTGGAAAAAGAATGAGTAGAATTAGTATAAAATTCAAGTACGTTCAAGAATAAGTAAATTTTGCAAATTAGAATTTGAAAAAGAAATTTGAATTTTTTATTCAATATTTATTACAATATGTTTAAAAGTAATTAAAATGAAATTGAATTCACTCTATAAACTTCAAAATAATTAAATTTTTTTTAAACCTAATCTTTCTAACCAAAAGAAACAATTAAATAATTTATTAATTCTATAAATTAAAATGAAGAATGGGACAGATTGTTCGTTAATTTAGTAAAGTAGATTTGCCTAATAAATTCGGTGATAAATTCTCACAAATTTCAAATGTATTACTGAAGTTAATCTAGATTAAATTGCAATGGTTATAAAATGAAACGAAACAGTTTAGAAAATGGAAGTAAATTTTCTACATAGCTACATATCAAATGGCAGGAAAATAAAGAACACAATTATTATGTACATTGAAACTTATATTAGGTAATCATAATGAAAGAAAATCCATCAGTTTAATCATATAATATTTCATATTTGCACAAGTTTCACAAAAAGAAGCTTATTAAGAATCATAAGCTTCAATGAAATTAAGTCAATGCTTTAAATTTATTAATATTTTCATAAAATATCTGAATTTTAAAGAGATGGAAACTATCTGAAATGTAAAGTTGCTTTGATCTTCTCAGCTGGATGCTCATGCTAGCTAGAGAGAGCTGTTAGGAAACTACCAATGTATTAATTAAACCAATACTTTCTTCAGGATTATTTTACTTAAAAATTTAAACAAAATAAAAAATTAAATAATATAATTCATCTCTAATCTTGACTTTATCAAAAAATGTCTTAAAACATCTCCAGTTATAGAATGAAAACCCGTTTTGTATAACAAATGTAAATGTATTTCAAGTTAGAAAGTCATTTCCAAAGTCCTTATCTCTATCTGGTATGAATGTTAATTTATTTAAATGAGTAATAGACCAGTTTATTCCATTGTTTCTTGCCAAAATAAAGAGAAATAATATCACAATATAATCAGTTCTGGTTTAACTGAATAAGTATTTAGAAAAAAAAAGCAAATGAAACCTTGATTTTTTGTTGAAAGATTTCATTCCTGATAGTACCTTTCGGTGTAGCTAAACTTCAAAATAATCCATTAATCATAATCATAACGATATATTGGATAAATTTGCATTTTACACAATGTAATGGCTTATATAGATGCAACTGACTTCAATTATTATCAGAGATGAGGTTACCTAGGAGAATGATTATGCATATAATATGCAAAGAGCTTTTGTATATACCAAAGTGTCAAGCTTACTAACATCCATATAAATTACTCCTTTGATTGTCTCCTATACTAAGCGAACTGTGACGCGTGCATGTAAGATGCAAGTTACTTGCACGAGACATGTGAGAGTCACTGTCAAAACGTCATGTCAAATTGTAGGGTTTGTTGGTTGGTCGGGTTTTTTGACACTCCAATGCAGTTCAGAAAAGTGAAAATAGATCCGATGCTTCAAACAAACCACACAACATGAACATTAACTGGTAAAGATAAGTCTTAACATATCTATATAATAGCAGATCTTCATCGATGTAGTGAGCCAGTTAGTCATGGAAATAGAATGATTTATCGACTTGGCCCACAGCCAAAATTCACTTTTATGTTGAATTTTTCAACATTCAAAATAACCAGAACATCAAAAAATTTTTAATCTTTTATCTATGGTGTACAATTCACTGAATCTATTTCTCATTTGATACTTTTTGAATTACTTTCAGAATGAGGGTTCGTTTGGGATGATAATGGAAGCATTGGGGCAGTGAAATGACCTTTGAATAATATATTTTTAGACCCATGTTATTTCTACTTGTACAAATAAATGATATTTTTAAAGGATAAAAATATATCTACAAAAAGTGTGCTTGGTTATCAAAAGAATAGGTTCAGTTATTTTAAATTTTATACATTTTTGAAATTTTTCAATAGATTTTGGCAAATAGATGAACTCATTGATGACAAGCAACTATTTCATTTACTGGATACTACTTACTATTTTCTTTCATTTAAAAAAGACAGTTTTTATTTGAAGATCTTTACTATCATTGTTTTCAATCAATTATTTTATAGTTTGTCACAAACAATAAAAAAAACGTTCTCTACGGACAATTTAAAAATCATAAAATACAATAGCTTCATGAAATTCTGATTGAAAATAAGATACCAAGTTTTGATTTACTCTAATATTTTCTACTTCAACAAGTATCCACTCATTTGATAAATAAACTCGTTCCTAGTTCTATATACTGCTACATTAAAGTGAAACTATTATCCACAACAATTCAAAAACTATTTATTAAATTATCAAAGCAAAAAATTTGTTAAATGATTGCAATTTGTTTTTTATATATTTATTATATAGTTATTACAGTGATAATTTTGTACTGCTATGAATAATGAAACAAAATATTCTGCATGTTCAATAAATACAGTCAAAGCATACTCATCATTGGATCGACCTTGTCCTGGTCCAAGAGTCCAATACAGCAGTTTCTATGCATTATCATATTATAATGCATATAAATGATATTCAAATATATTGATTAGTTTCATCATTATTATTATAATAATTGTGGTGATTACTGCTACTATTAATATTTAAATATTTATTTGATTGGATAAGTTTTAGAAACCTAAACTACATGAGACTGCAATTTTCCTAGTTTACTTTAATATTTTACTTAAACAACAAATTAAAGTAACTTTTCGTGTCACAATCTTAACTCTCTAGGTGCAAAAGTTATTTAAAATAATTAATTTGAACAAAAAAAAAAAAGTAATGATAACTTCATTAAAAAATTACTGAGTTAAAAAAGCGAGATTGATTAGCAAACTTCTTTATCTTATTTAGTAAAGTTGGGAGGAAATAAAAAAATCCATGGGATTTGTAATAAGATTTTTTTCTCAACAGCTTGAAAATTATATGAACAAAAATGATCAAAGTAATTTGGAAATGATGACCAGTAATGAATCAATTGAAACGTCATCAATCATAAAACAGACCTTGGAGACCTGCTAATTAAGTGACTAATGTACAAGGATATATAATGTCCAAAAAAAAAATACTGATTCATCTGACTATCATTGTATTCACTTCATCTTTACCAGTTAACATTTTTATCAATTCTAACTTGGAATAATTTAATATATATACATTGATTTTCTTTCACTCTTACTTTATCATGGAGGAAATTTTTATGAACAAGGAACTCAGTCTACCGATTCGAAGATGAATGGTAAAGTTTCAAAGAAACTTTTTTGATGGACATGATTAAACTTTCGGTCAAATTTAATAGCTCAAAGCTGAATCAAGACCTAGAGTTATGTTAAATGGACGAGGGTTGAAGACACCCTCAAATTAAATCTAAGTACACAAGTAAACCTTGTTCAAGTTTGACAGACGTGCTGTGGGTGTACTGGTCGACCAATAGGCGTGGTTGCAGAAACCACTATCGACTGTGTTTGCCTTTTCCAATTATCATCTTTACAATAGTGCATGAAATAAGGACAAATTAAAATCAGTTAAATAAACAGGATTCTTGAGAGAATAAGGATAAAGCTTTAATATTCATTATCGTTAAGATAAAAACGTGCTACCTCTGGTCTTGCTAAGACCTTTAAACTCTATATACTCTTAATTAAAAACACGTTTCTTTTTCTAATTATGCCCTTCTTGGCACCTAAGGTATGAATAAATTTTCTTCTTAATGGTTTTAGCTAATTGCAATTGATATTCACACTAAAATGCTAGTTCTGATAAATGGCAAGGTAAAATAAATTTGTCTCAAATGTTATATAAAAGTGTTATAACATTGATCATCAATACCTCTTTTCCTGCAAGTTTCAATAAATTTATTTGTAAATTTAAAACAGTTTCAATCTTCTTCATTTACTTATATAATCCTATCAAATGAAATCAAATAAAAAAATAACAATTTCAAGGATTATTACAGATTCTTTATTTTATATATCAATATTCAGACTTCAATATCAAAAGATACCAATCTAATCTAGATGTTTCTTGGGAATTCAATTTCAATTTTCATTAATAAAAAGCAAAATATAATAAAAAATGATGTGCTGAAGTATGTTGTAAGAATCTCGTAAAGTGTGGTATTAAAACTTGTTTCACCATAAAAAAAAGCTGTTGAATTAATGTAGGATGGACTCTATGACTATTTCAGACAGTTTGGGATAGGGTAGTTTACCCATTTGAATTAAATTCCCCAATCTACTTGACATGGTCATCTCACTTGGTTCTATCCTAAAAAAGTTAGTGAAATTATCTAAATGACACTAAGAATTTTGTTGACCAATTGAATAAATAATTAAATCAATGAAAAAATGAAGGATTTTGCTTTGAATTATACTTGAAGTAGGAAATAAGTAAACAGTTATTCATTAAAAATATTCACCAATAAACTTTTAATGATACAACTTCTTTAATTATATATTAATCCAATAAATATTTTCATTTGTTTTTTCCACAAATATACTTGAAACTTTCACCCAAAAAGTAATTCAAAGTCTAATAAAAAATTATTGATCAAAAAATTATATGAAAATTGTGTAATTTTCTTCTATATTATTATCTTTATTTCAACTTAGTTATTAAAAGAATATCATTAACATAAATATTATTTGAAACATAATGAAAAGAAATGTCCAATGAAATGTGATTCAATCTATATCAAATAAGTTAATCATTCAATTAATTATGTTCTTTCTTTACAAGTTACCAAGATTATTAATTAATCACTCTAAATTATTTAACTACACTTCATCGATTCTACAATTATCCTTTTGTTTCCCCTACTCCATAAAAGTATCTTCAACTTTAACAAAAAAGCAATTTACCACTAGACGTCTGGACCATCTGGAGGGTGTAAGGAAGAATAAGAAGGGCATGTGAAATATAGCCTCATAGACATAGCATGATATGACCACGCCTATAACTCTTTCACTACATACAGTGAGAAAAGGGGGAAAATAAATAATAGCAAAAATGATTTTTTTCAACAAACTTATGATGAGTTTCGATGGAAGAGAAAAGGTCGTGCTAAGAATATATAAATCCTAGTACACTAGAGAATTTGAAAGATCAACTATTATTTATTTCTTTACTTTAAATATTCGCAAATAAAAAGAAAACCTGCTATTCTTTATGAAGTTTTGCTAATAGTCTACCATAGAATATCTGAAATATCATTACGAGATTGGATTTTATAACAAAACTAACCATTACCATTGTGTTCTCCTCTTTGTACTAATTGCTATCATAGATTGCCCCAACAAACAGATCCCACAGCTTCTACTTGGCATCGTAAGGTATATGAAAGCACTCTTGTAATAGCTGTTATGCTGTTAGGTATTAAAACCACCAACTAAACAAGGCTTTCAAAGCAAGCATTGCTGAAGAGAAAAGTTTTATGATACAAGTGTAAACAATATAATTCATTTAAGAACAATACATTTTTTTCTTCAACCATAAAACTTTAATTTTAGTTAATGAAATAGTTACTTGTGAAGAGAGAATCAATTTTGTTGATACATGAAAATAAACTGTTATCATTACGTCATTGATATCCTTGTTGGAGGATAAGAGGTACGGTATAGTACCATTCTACTGCCTACATAAAGTGTTAATGTAATGATATAGATAATTTCTATCAGATATCGTGCTTTCATTCAAGGTATTTAGTGGGGTTAATATAACAACAGAGTGTATAAATAGAAGTCAATAAATTTAAGACGTAAGTAGAACAGTGGAAGTAGTGAATGAAAACCCATAAATTAGTCAAAATAGAGATTAAAATAAAAAAGATGTTTGTTTAAAAGAATCTATGCATGTTAAATGAACATCAACCTTGTTTTTTATTATAGCATTAAATAAATTTATATCAATACTTAATCATTATTGATTTTTCTATTTAGTTTGCTTTAAATAAATTCAACAAATACTGATCTAGATTTGTAGAATCAAATTTTAAATTGAAAAAAAAACTGATAATATTACTTTCTTTTTTTAAATTCGGTCAATGAAATTTTATTTCATTGCCACTGAATTCTAAACTGTGTTATTTGCACTGAAGTGAATTACATCTATAAAAAGTTGTATGATCAAAGTAGAGAATATTTTTTACACCTCTATATCTGAGTTTTGATTTAAAGAAAAAGCTTTTGAAATCGAGAATTTATCGTTGTTTTTAATATCACTCTTTATATTCATAAAAGAAACAAGCATTTTATAGAAAAGAACCACTTCATGTTCAGAACAATTTGAAAATGACTTTGCAAAATTTTGATAAATACATGTGTATCTTTCGAAATGTCAGAAATTTAAGACAAATGTTTCTCAGTACATAATAAATTCCCATAGAAGTATTCTACTCCATTTGATATTTGGATCTCCAACCCTATCACCAATCATGCTACTATAAATATTAAATTTTGGAAAGCTTAATAAAACGTTAAATGATAAAGCAAAGCATTAATTCTATTGAAGTTGTTTATAAACAAATTCAGTGAAAGTTAATAAAGTGATCTAATCAAAATCAAATAAAGATCTGTATACATTGGAGAATATAGTGTCACTGAAGCTTTTTGGTGAACATAAACCAAACCTTTTATTCGATGTAATTTACGAAATGAAAATAGAACGGAAGTTTGATTTACTCAAAGGTTATTCAGACCCAATAGCTGGAGATTATCGGGGTCACACTGTATTTTTAATACGTTTATATTGAGTGAAAGAAGGTAAAGTTAAATAGTAAAAAGAAGATCGATGTCTGTCATTATAAGTCGATGCACTACACAGAAATGTATTATGCTACGGATATAGCCACTATATTATCAACAGTCTTTTTCCTTCTCTGACAATTCTTCTAGTTGTACTATTTAAAAATAACAGGTGTAGAGCAAAAAACTATTTCAATAGATATATTATGTCATCTGTCACAAATTTCACTTGGAGATATTAAGTATAATTTAATGAATAAATTAATCATTCAGTATTAAAATAATTAGATAATCTTTAGACCCTCGAAGTAAAGTTCACTAAAGTTCTGCGTACCTTGACAACAAGATAGCACTTTGAATCACTAATCTTAGCCCTTTTGGCTCACTGGACCGGAAATAATAGAGCGCTGTCACATCACGCGTCGTGATTTTCCAATTGGCAAGTACAAATAGATAGACATGAAATGATGTACACACATTTGCTGTCTTTTTCTTTCTCAATTATACCTCCTACTCATTCTTATTGAAATAAACCTGACTTTGATCTGAAGTGATCATGCCACATGTGATTTTAGTTGAACACCGAAATCATTTAAATTTAAAAAAAAAAGTAGCTAATGTATCTATAAATTATTATAATAATTTATAGGATTTAGTGTAATACATAATATTTTAAAGTAACAAATTTTTCCACTAGAATTTATAATTAATGAGTAATTGAAAAATAATCATTGAATTAACATTCTAAAAACTTAAAGTATATAATTTAATTAAAAAATTATTTAAAAAAAAATCAATATGAATTATTCATTTGATTTAGCACTAAAAAAAAACCGAGACTTGTCATGTTGAAATTAAAAACTTATTGATGCTTAACAAATATGATAAGTTGTTAAAAAATCCTTATTGAACATATAGAGATGTCAGAGAATGAAAAAAGAGGTTGACATGAAGCAATTACGATCATTCCAACTATGAAATTAATTCCGAGAATATTCTGCAATTTCTTTTCTTTAAATTAATTAATGCTTTCTGCAAGCAGATTATAATGAACTATAATCTCAATAATAATCATTCTATTAAAATTATCACTCATATTATTACTATGATATTTAATTAATTGAATTGATTTAGTGTATAATTGAAAGAGCGTTAAAATACTGCTTTTAATATATCTAAAAAAATTGATAAATTGAAATATAATTAATAGCTTTACAGTGTTATCAAAAATATTATAATTTTATTCCAAGTAACTAAATGTATTCAACCATTGAAATCTTGTAAACAAATCAATGACAAATTGCACTTTGTAATGAGTAATTTATTCATGAAACAACCTCATAAACTGAATAGTGCATTACAGTAACAATAATAATGATAGTGATATGCCAACTCTTAGAAAAAATTCGTTACATTTATTCATCAACTGAACCAAGTTGCAATTATGATTTAAATTACTAAAAATGTTTCTCCAAGTCCTTAGGAACACCTTACACTTTTAACGAATAAGGATTTCATTTTAATGAAGAATATAAAAAGTGCTAATTTAATGCACAAAAATTAACTAATCTATGTGCAAATGACATATGTTTGCACATAAAATTCAGTATGATACATTATATCAAGGTTGAAGAAATTTTCTCACCACAAACAATATAGAAAAAATATGTGTCAATAAATCTCTCGAACTTCACCTCTATTCATTTTTGCAAAACTTTTAAGCGCAATTGTTTGAGCATATATGATGAACAGGCATTGTTTCCACCCCTATATATATTTAAACAAGTTGGAATAATTTATTCCACCATGACAAACAGAGTTCTCCAAATTTTTTAGTCCCTAGAGGATAATAAATGTATCATTTCCACTTGAAAATTATTATTACCTAGTTTTAGTGAGAAAGTTGAGTTAGCTAATTTCGTTATTGTCATTAAAAAAGTATAATTCTAAATGAGCAATAAAATTAATTTACTTACTGATATGCACTTATCGTGGTTTGATATTGGAAAAACTTTCAAGGGCTTTATTTTACTGCTTCTTATCTTTGTAGAAGTTCTTAAGAATCTCTGATACTTGCTGAACTACCCGAGTGTTCGCGAAAGCGACACTTAGCTGTCCAAAGTGCTTTTATAGTTTTGATCATCAACGAGTAAACTTTGTTTTCCTATGTCTTTGAATCAAGTAACTTCAAGAGCAAGGTCAAGATTTTCTAAGAATCATTAAACATACATTTTAAAACTCATTTCCATCAATTGTTTGTCAAAAAATTCCAAAAAAAACTTTTTGTTAATCGTTGTTACTACTTGTTACTGTCCATTGCATTATTTTGATTTTGGAAATCTTAAAATTAATTTATAAATGATAATTCTCAATGAAAATAATTGAAAAACTTTTTAATTGTTATTTAAAGTATGTGTGATTGAAACGAGAAACTGTCACAAGGATAACAATTGTATCATCTTAATGCAAACTTAGTCAACAAACGTTATTTTATGATGCACGCGGACAACTGATCTTAGGACACAAACTTCACAGTTCGGTGTAAAGCGTGGTTTGTCAAATGCGCGCGCCGCCTAACGAAGTGTTTTGTTTCTGGTTCTATGCGCAAACGCAAATATTACAATCGCGCGCTTTTTCTTGGAGCCGGGTTTTGTGTTTGTGATTAATTTATAATTATTCATTTTATAAATCATAACACAATTAAAAATCTACGAAAGAAAAGAATAAAAAAAAATTACGTCAACAATTTTTTCATAACTTTTTTTTTTGGAGCACGATTATTTTTTTTCATTCAATCATAAATTTTCCAGCGATTAAATGAAATTAATATTTACTTTCAACTTGTAATTATTAAAATTTTTATTTTTGTATAAAAAAAAAGAATACATTGAACCCCAGATCAAAGGATAAATTTTTTTTTTATCTTTGGTCGTTATTAACTACTGTCGGTAACAGAAAGTAGATTATTTTTAACAATCAGTCAAAAAGAGTTTTATCTTTACGATTAATGATAATATTTATTACTGTATTATCAAATGCGATTAACTAAGAATTTTTTGAATGTAATAAGGAAAAATGAAAAATTATTGATTCTGAATTTAAATTAATAATAAACTAAAATGGAAACCTTCTTAACATATCTAGTAAAGTTATAAATTTTAAAAGCTATTCTCTTAAAAGTACCTAATGCGACAAAAAAAATTCACGAACACTATTTATGAATTATTAATATAATTAATAAAGAACAAAAGTGTTACGATGATCACTAAAAAAAAATTTCTGAAATAAATAATCATTTATCTTCCCTTCGGCCGTATTCTATAATTCATTGTTACTTTTTAAGGAATAATTATTCTTTATCTTGCAAAAAAAAGTCAATTGTTAATTAAAAATGACAATATTTGTTTATCGATGGCACTTGTAAATAATTGTTCTGTCATTAAACTTGTCGCATTCTTAGATTAACTTTCAAAATAATATATAATAAATGAGACAAACAATTTCTATTTAAATAAATTTAATTACAAGTATTTCCTTTGAAAATAAAAAAAAACAATAATTACCATTGTGAAGTAAATTTGCTAAAAATAGTCTTTCATTTTCATTTGTTCGTATTTCTAAGGCATGCAACGGTTTGTAAATTAATTAGTTGAGAGTTTTTGACATCTAATGATGCATAAATTGGATTTCTTAAAGTCAACGATGTTGACAGAAAGTCATTCTCGGCAATAACAGTCAAAAGAACATTGGTGTCGCGCGACTAGATTTGCGCAATGCGGAAAATTTCATACCTAAGCAGAAAGGTATCTTATAATGAAAGAAACTCTAAGAATAAACTAGAGTATAAAATCATTGATTTTACATTTAAAATCAATGTTCAGCTCTAAATGTTGGAAACAAAATAGTGGCCAATATTTAATCAATAAATATTCCTTGGCAAATCTGTGGCATATTACATTATCACAAAAAGTGCTTGGACAATTTCCTCCCACACATATTCACGTTTCTCCAATGAAGCGAAACCAGACCTTGTGGCCAATAAAATGGTCATTTCGAAATTTTATTGTCATCCATTAAACTAATGCAGATGTAACCATTCAATGGCAATCGAGAAACTGTTTAAATTTTCTTCATTGCAACAGCACGAACAAAAATCTTAAAAGACTTGACTTTTGTTTTATTCTCTTCAAGAGGGTTTTTCCTTTTATATACTGTATATAAAACGAGCATCGGAAGGAAATCAAGAGGCTTTGTAAAGTCTCAAAGGCGATAATTATTATTATTATTATTAGAGTATTGTAATTTTCACAGTACTGGAAATAATTGTTCTTTTGTTAGCTTTGTTGCACAATGTCACACTATAAATTGAGGATGCTTATTATTATGCATCAATGATAATTAATGAATCATGTACCTATATATACATATACATCAAATACTTTATTACATTCAATTTTGATTTTTCAATGTTTTTCTTTGTTCACACATCAAAGCAACATCAAGTCAATAATCACTAATAACATTGACCCTCATTTTTTATGCTAATAATGATGACAATTTAATTGCCTGAAAAATTCTATTATCAATCTTTACTATCTATTCAAACTCAATCATCATTGTAAACAGAATAGACTTTTCAAGACATTACTGTAAAATTGTATTGACATTTTTTCAATTTTATTTCCAAGTCAATTTGAATTTTTCATTAAAATTTTCATTTTTTTCCATTTGTTGATGATATTTTTAACAATCTCCATTTAATACTTTTTCCATTTAAATCAATTCAATTTATTGAAAGAAAAAATTCAATTTATTTTTACAATTCATCTCTGTGTAGTGAAATAATAGTTTTATATCAAGGCTACAAACTATTTTTCCCACAATAAATAATATTTCAATAATCTCTCAATGATTATTCATTTTATGTACAGTCATTTATTTATCATCATGTTACCATTTCAGATTATCACAAGTTATTTCTTTGATGATAAACACATTGAAAGGTATTTTTTACTACATATTATTATTATGATAATTACAAACTTAAAATTTCATTTAATTATAGCAGAGATATATATGTATTTGTCTGACTCATCGCAACATTGATACTGCCATTGACTTGTTACATAAGATTAGAAACATAAGCATTGAGTTATGATGCTAACATACAGAAGTTGGAAACAATCATTTCATAACACAAGTTGCTGATATAAACCTCTGCTAAAATTTAGCCAAGTCGTTTTTGCTTAGGCTAAGAAAGTTAAGTCAGTGATTCTCTTGTTCAAAGGTAATTTTCGTATAGAAAACTACCATACAAAAGAAGCAGAAAACAAACTTTAAGCATTTACCTTGGTATAATCGACTGTAGAATGTTGACTTTTTATATTCTAAAGTGTACTTGTAACTTCTAGGTAACTATTCATATCAAGTACATATTAAAAGCGATCAACAAAGCTTCATGTAAAGACAATCTTGTATACAAATAAAACAGTTATTAAGATACTCTTTCGACCTTTTGATATTTTTTTAGCTTCTTAATCAAGTTTTTTGGTGGTTTTTCTGTTTATTTCATTTTTGATAAATTTATACATTATTCACATTAAATTAGTCGTAATTTTTTTTTTATTTTTTAAAAAAAAAACTTACCTATTTCTTGAGTGAATTAATAATGAATTTTTTAAAACTTATGCAGCAACACCTAAAGTGTTAGTGAATAAATAATATCTTTTCTCAATTATTCTTTATGATAAAAAAATATAATGTAAAATATGTTTACTAAAATATTATTATAATACATTTTTTCAATTCCTCCATAAATTTTTTTTCTAAACCGGAAGTCAAACTGACTTTTATATCAACGCAGGACGTGACATACACAATACTTAGAAGCAATATCTGATGAAAAATTCAAAAAGCTGTTACCATCTCTTAATACATATCGTTAAATGAATTTTACATATCGTTGAGTCACATATTGAAATCATAAGAGTTTCATCAAATTATAACAGACATTGATTAAAATTTACAGTCGATAGTTTTTTTTTATATATACATTTTTCATAATCTGGGATAATACTTTTCTTTTTTGTTTCATGTCAGTGAACCATTGATGTAAAGCAAGACTTTCTGAGAGTTTTAAAATCAGAATGAAGTTTTCATGTCTAATAGTTACGGAGTAAAGTTAACCGAAAGCTCTAATATTTATGTCAAAAATCCAACTTTAAATGGCTGTGAAATATGAAAAAAAAAATGTCAAAGAACATACGTCATCATTTGAGATGTGGGAAAGTACGTGTACTTTTGAACGCATGTTTTCATAAATTTTTTGAACTTACAGAAGTGTCTTTAAAGGTGAAAGATACAAATATTCATAAAGCAAAAATGATGAAAATTTAGCTTTTAACTCGAATTAAAAATTACACAGTTATGTCAAATATGTTAATTATATCAAAAATATTTAATAATAAACGTAATCAACTCTTGACAACGCAGAAAAAATCCCATTAAAAGAATGAGATAAAAATATTTGATTCCCAGAATCATTTTATAGTTGGAAATCCCATGTTGAATAATTCTTCATTTCCAACCAGTGACTTATGAATAAAAAAACAAAATCAAAAAATATGAACCCGGAAAGAAAACAAGATAAATATGAATTAAAAGTTAAACTTTTCATGAATGACATATAAATTTAACTGAATATTATTTTTAAACTGAAAGATAAAAAAATAGAGACATTGTGTTGGATTATGTAATTTACAATTTTCCTTAAACAAACATTATTAATAAATCAAAAAAAATTTAATTTATTCCACTCGGGAAAAAATTAAAATTGACATTCAAATATTTTTTAACTAAATTTCTGTTTCGTAACTTTGGAAATAGAGTGGAATAAATTTCGCTAGCTAGAATTAAAAATTGCAGATGGAAATCAGAAATTTAAAACACGTTAATCAACAAATTCAGTATTATATTTCATCCATTCTTCACGAGTGGTCCTGCTTTTGTTGTATTTGTTATTCCTGAAGTTTATTCTTTTTTATCTAAATTTAATTCCCAATGATATAAATTCCACCTGTTTTTCCATTCTAAATATAATTGATAGATTTTTCTTTAATTAATACGGAAAATCAGAGGAGGGTAATCAGTTGAAAACACTAAATTGAGGAATTTTATGAAATAAACAATAGCGAATCCAAGAGATAATATTCATATCAACTGAGTGCTATGACTGGCAGAAATATAATATTATATAATCATTTACATAGTGAAGAGTTTTTCTTTCTTCTAGAAATATGCGTGGATTACAGGAACTTGAACTAATTAATTCAATCTAAAATTAACAATTGATTTAAAAATTATTATGATAGCAGAATTCAAGGATTCTGACAAAGTCAGCCATATGCTTTGCTAATTTTTTAGCAGTTACTGATAAGCTTTTTGTTGCTTTTGAATACTATTTTATATTAAATTGTTAACTTAACAAAGTTAAAAAAAAAAAAGAATCATTTTATTCTGCTCACTCTTCTCATGGCCAGCTTTCTATCTCACCAAATTGTTTATAGCTGATCATATTGTCATAGATCATATTACTAGAACGTTCGTCGAAATAATAAAAAAAAGTTAGTCATATTGCGCAGATTCATTGGGTATTGATTACAAAAATAATAATCAAAATTATTTTGTAAACTAGTCATTCGTTGAAACATCAGAAAGTTTTTTCTACACAGAAAAAAGCTTCAAGTAAAACTTATTAAAATTGTAAATCAAAACTAGAAATTCATTAAACTTTTATAAAGAATTATTATAGATGGTTTTTGTTACTGAAATATTGATTATATTATTATTTCCATTACAAAAAAACATAGTAACAAAATGACTGCAGTTTTGGAGTAAATTTTGTTACATATATCAATTTCTTGTCATCTCCAGTGAAGATAACTTCAAATAATTCCAATTAAATTATCTATAATCAATAGATGTGATTATCCTATTAAGTTTCATGTAAATAAATACATTTAGTACCTTCTAGAAATATATGACACAATCACACCATTCATCATACATATTTATATTAGCATTATCTTAACAGTCCAACAATGTATTAAATTTATCACTGTTTTAAATAGATAATGCAACAAATTATAACATTACAACAAATTAAAACTAATACACAGATTTAATTTCAATCAATTCCCTTTGATTGAAAAAAAATAAACAAATATTAAATAAATTGCAAAAATTCCTTTGTAAAAATTAAATACGATAATGATTAGAGAAAAATATTTATAGATATAATTTATCCTCTCACTCCATCAAAAATGCCTTTCTGAAACTTTCTCTTTCAAATCCGGAAGTTCTAAAAATTGGTAAATAACTTGACAGGTATTCGTGGAAGGACTATCTGAAAAATGAATCATCAGAGCATATTAAAAAGGAAGCAAAAAGTAATTTTAATATAAACCAAGTTGAATATATACCTACATAATCATAGAATATGTCGCACAACAGTAGCAGGCGAGAGAACAACGTCGTAAACATTCCATAACCAAGGCCAGGAATCATACGGCTGCTATGTAACCCTCGTCGACGACCGGTAATTAACGCACTCATTCCCGCGTCCAGGTACACAACTAATGTGTTATGCTGAAACTGCAAGCAAGAGTTATGAATGCAGTAATGTAATATAGTTTGTAGTGTGTTGTATAATTATATACATAATAATAATATGATCTACAAATACATTATAATTTAAATTATAATTTTCATGATTAAATTTAGTTATATGTTAGACATATAAAGGTGTGTAATAACAGTTGGACAATGTAGATATTAAGATATCCAGATTAAACAATGTTGAGATGACGATAATAGATTTCAAATGAAAGCACGTCGTCATGATAGACTGAATCTCCAACTTGCTAAATGATGTATCGAGTGTTCTATTACGTCAACCGTAACGAATATACTGTATACTCCTCTTTTATTCTTATATTTGTAACAATTACTCATTGTAAGTTTCTAGACTCTACATGTCATGAATTCATTGGAGAAAATTTTCTATTTCAAACAGACTTTTTTTTTTCATTTCATGTCTATTTCTTTTTTTCGGAATCTAATTACGACTTTCATTATTTTTATTACTACTTTTTTTATTATTCCTAATATATGCCAAGTTAATCTAATTTATTGGATATAATGTTGATTTTTATGTTGCATGAAAAAATTTTTTTACTGCATTGGAATAAAAAAATTAAATAATTACAAATAGTACTGAAATAATAAATTACAAATCATGAATGTATGCTAGTTTATAGATGTAAATAAATTATTGATTTAATCAAAGATGTACTTACGATTATTTGAGTTTCCTTACAATGAAGAACAAAGAAGTTGTTTTAATTTTCGTATGCACTTGGAATCATCATTTGACTTTAAAAAGAGTGATTATCAAATCTATCTGTTTCAATCATCTTTCATTTATATACAACTATCATTAATGCAGTTTCCTAGAATGTTATTGTAATAAAATAACAACTAAATCACACAAAAGTTAAAAAAAATTCTGTACAATATTTGATAAACATTGTTTTGGCTTGAATTAATCTTAATATAGATCACTTAAGATTGGAACAGAGACAAGCTAGCATGATAGTGATATAAAAAGAAATAGCTGTTTAGTTGGTAAATTAGATTTAAATACAAAGTGAATTGCAAAATGATTGAATTCATTCTATCATTTTTTTACACTTTATAATTATTATTTATTCAATATTCCTCATGAATTATTTTGAAGTAAATTTCAAAGTTAGAAATACTATAACAGGAATATTTTTGGTAGAGAATAAATGCATATGGAAAACATTTGTATGTGACAAAAGAAAAATTTTTTCAAAGTCTCTTTAGAATTATTTTGGAATTCCTTTCAGCCAGCTCTTTTGGAGTTCTGCTTGGTCTCGCCGCCAAAACTTTCCCAGACCAAAATTTTCAGAATTCTATTGAAAATGATTTTACATTAGCAGTGAATAATATTGATTTATCTTCCAAAACATTTAAAATTCTAAACTGATCTGATTCTTTATAAAAAAATATGATGGATATTATTTTCACTCATCATAAGTAAAAAGAAGAGTTTGTTTAATGATTTTACAAATAAATCTCTCTCAGCATCAGAAGACGTATGTCTAACAATTCCAGTGAAAGTTTTTTCATTGTTATTATCAGTAGCTACTACTACTTATATTAACTGGCTTCGATATTTGTTGTGAGGAGATTTATTGAAGCTAACATTCTCAGAATGCTTCAAAACTTTCAAATATATATAAAATTTAAAAAGGTGAGTAATTAACATAAAAAGTAAATCCTGGTCTTTAAGCTTTTGAATGAGTAAAATTAATTGTAGTTTGAACATTTTATATTTCATTCAATGCAATGTAGATAAAACTTATTTTTCACACGATTTATATATTTATGAAAACGTACAAAAAAAAATCAATAAAACCTTTTTTTTTTTTTAGAAAAAATTACCTTCATTAACTACAGAACAGAAAGCAAAAAATATGCCGAGTTTCCTTAAACCGATTGCAAGGTTCATTTAACATCAGTGAGCCACAAATATATATATATATACATATATATTTTCTCCAAAATTACTCAAGGTATCATCCATTGTAGGTAAACATTTTTTTTAATGATTTAGAGCTGTTTCAATTTCAGGAAATTTATGGAATACATTGGAAATCACAAATAATGTGACGATCTTTTGGAAATGTTTTTGTAGATGACCTTTATTATAAATCTGTAAAAAAAAAAAATAATTTATTTATCTAATAGTTGTCAACAGATTAATTAAATTGTCTGACTTCACCGAATAGATTCGTCCTATAATAATAGAGTAAATTTCATTATCATTTCCGGAGTTTGGTTGAAAATGTCTCAGAACAAAATTTATCATTCAGCTTAATTATAAATGTTTTTCATATTAAAAATGATAATTCTGATTCATCATAAAATAAAATTTAAAAAAAAATATTTATTAGTACTTTTGAGTGGTTAAAGGAGTATCAGATAATTTTTTATTGTTGTCATTACTAAATTATTGTTGACTTTTTATGTGTCTTTAACGATAAAATATGCATATTATTAATGGGCACTACATGAAAATGGCCTGGAATAACTCTTAAAATATTTTCAAGACATCTGTGTAAAGACTAAAACTAGTCACAGTTTTCACCACATTACAGAAAATAAGAAAAATAAAATGATTATTTTGTCATATCTGAAACTGAAAAGAATTTATTACAATAACAAATGTTCTTTACTACTCAACCTCAAAACTCATTGTGTATGTATCTTGTTTATTCAAGTGAAAAAATTTTTGTTCAACGTTTCATTCAATCATTATTCAAAATAAAAGAAAAAAAAAATACTGAAGAATTCTCTTCATTTATTTTTCATATTATTTGTTTTTCATTATTTTCTTCTATCAATAACCTTTTCAATCTTTTTTTTTTTTATATATTCTTGTTATCATTATAATCATTTTCTTTATTACTAAACAGTTATACTATTTACTTATATATCCATTAATTCGCTTGTTCTTTGACGTGAATAATTAAATCATATCATGTTTGAACTGCAATGAGTATAAACTGAGCCATGACTATATTGATCTGAAGTCAATGCCAATCGTGCTCTAGAATTGTTAAAGAAAGAGGACAAAGATGATAGAATCCATTGCATGAAATGTATCGATATGCTGTCAGAATCGATGTGGTATTATGTTGAAGGATGAACTCCATCTTAAAGCCCTACTTTTAAAATTAAAATAATAAAAATAAATATTTTTCAATAACATAAACACATCTTACATAAACGACTAAAATTCGTTTCAATTGAATTGATGCTTTTTTTAACAATCTTCTTTTATGATAAAATTCAAATTTTTTATTCTATTTCTGGTTACGGTCAAGTAGAGCATTGTTTGATAGCTGAAATAAAAGAAAAGTAGTAAGGTACTTTTTGTTGTGTGAGTTATAAATTTCAAGCTCGCTTATATGTATACATGAATAGACATGTGTGAGTATAAATGCATGTACGTACCTTGAACGTCACATTGCTTAACCTAAAACGGATCGAAGTAGTTGTTTTAAGTATTTACTTCTTATTTACGTGACCTTGCACCTGATGGAGATACATAAATTTCTACATAAAACACGTGGTGAAGATATTGCATTTTGTATTACAAATATCTTTTTTATTTCAGGAAACCAGATTGATCTATAGTTGTTTTCATTCTCTGGACGTAATGGTATGACGCCAATGACCGTAGAACTTGTTCTCTAAAAGGCAATATTACATAGTACTATGTACATAATTCTATCATTAAATCTTATTTACAAACCGTACGTCAAGAGGCTAATTGGGATTAAATAAGGAAAATGAGAGTGGGTGACAGTTTTACCTTGTCATCTAACCGAATCTATCTAGATGATCTAGTTCCAACGTCAACTCTCTATGTGCTCTGGAAACAATTGACCCCGAGGGTAAACTTATCAACATATCCTTACACAAATAACAAACTATTTTACTTATCTTCAATTGCCTTTTTTAATATTTAATAAAACTGTTAAATGAAGTCACTTCATTTTATTCTTTTTTATTTAATTATGAAAATTAAAAGTTATCAATGTGTTCAAGACCTCTTTTAATAATAAAGATTATCAAGTTCTCGATTGTTCTCAAAGAAGCCGTGGTATTTTATTTTTTTGCTTCTAAGAAAAAATATTTGAACAGAGTTTATTAAATACATCTGATGTTCAGGAAGATTGAAAAAATTTTTTTAATAAAGATATTAATACTTGGATCTTATGATACATTATTTTATAAAAATAAAAAAAGTTAGTTTTAATTAAAGATACTTTTTGTGTTGTTTGTTTTAAAAAGATATTGAAATTGATGTCATTTACAGTTCCTCTGAAGTTTGAAGCTATCTAAAGTGATATTGAGAAGTTTCCAATCTAAATTGGTCGAACTGTTTTCCAGATATCGCAGATGACAAATTTGTTTACATATAACAGAACTTTCCTAACGATCGTATTAATATTTTTTTTTTGTAATAAAGTAAAGGAAATAGAAATGGTGAAAATGACTAATGATAATAAAACAACATAGAAAGGAGTGAAAAATATTTAATATTAGTTTTAATTCTCAAGAGATCAACTGATGCATTCTGAGATCAAGTTGATAACATTTTTAAGTAAGATGATTCAAACTACTATTAAGCATTTGAGAAAATTTACATCACACTAAAATAATTATTCCTTAAGGAATTAAAATTGAACCATTTGTTTAATTGACATTATTTAATAATGAGAAAAATACTTTATTGAATTGACATTTTAAAAAAGAGTATCTTCTAAATGAAATGCAACTATGAATAGAAAAAAATTGTAATTGCAACAATTAATACTAATATGAGTATTATCTATGAAATTAAAATAATTGACAACTATTTAAATATAATAATTGAAAAATTGTTTTTAATATTTTCAAACGCTTGATAAAATAAGGAAAAAGTGTTAAAATTTTTAAAAATGCTCAAACATAAATTATAGTTCTTGATAAAAATAAAACGAAAATTCTGTCATAAATATTTTTTGCAAAGGAAACATATTTTCAATGATTTACAGACTTCTATTTATAAATTTTCCCTCAAACAAAAAAATTCAATATCATTCGTACTGTATACATTAAAAAAAAACCTGTTTATTTTACAATCTATTTTCATAGTGAAATAAATGTAGATATGAATTTCGGATGATAAAACAAATTATATAAAATGTATATTAGAATTAATAAATGGAGTAAGAAATCAGTTGATAAACCACATAAATTGATTGATTGATGATTTTATTACTCATTATTTTGATAGAATTAATTACAATATCACATATCCAGACACATGCTTAGACATACGATACTTCTTTGATCTCCATATTCTCATATACTCATATTATTTCATGTGGAATTTTAATAACGTCTTCTTTGTTATTATCATCATCATTATTTACACGTTTTTTTTTCATTTTTTACTTATCAAGATTATATTATAGCATTGCCAGTCATCAAGTACCAGCTAAATATTAGTATGTAACGAGTTACCATGAACACAAATTAAAACTTATTATCACAGACACGTATGCGAACGTTTGTATAAGATAGATATTGATGAGCTACTAAGTAATCATGTAAGAATTTCGAGCTTAATAAACAACTTGTTTTTGTAAAAAAACTTATTATAAATTCAGATATTAGATTCTTTTCCTCATATTGGTATGCAATCTCTAACTGATAATATTGCAAAATTGATTGACCAATCAAGATCGTTACCTTAGCAACAAAAACTATTTTTACATCAAGTATTTTATTCCACTTAGAGTTTGTCTTCCTCAACTAAATTATTATTTGATAGGTATAAATATTTTGTGACCAATATTATAGGTATTTGATTTACATTTTATATTGATAGTTGTGGTCGACCTTGCATAAGTTCCTAAAGCTAAAAAGCATCAACTCGAGTCCAAGTTCTCCAATTAGAATCAAGATACAACATTAATCTAAATATACTTAAATCTCAAGGTTTATAATGTATTGCACGTAACATTAATGCACAATATTACTTTGATTTTTAATAGAACAAATTACTTTATACATCAAACTTTTTTCATTTGACACAAAATGTATTAAAAAAAATGGTTAAAAATATCAAAAAGTTATTCAGCAAAATAAAAGTTTGAAAGTTTCAACCGATTAATATTTTGATTAAATTTGTTTTTTTGTTTTTCAAATTAACTTTTTTTCCATCAGAGATTGTAATTTAAATATAAAATGAAAATTAGTCCTCGTTTAATATCGAAACAGTAATTAAAAGTTTCAAACAAATAAAAGCAAAAAAAAAAAACGTAGAAAAATAAATATTTGTTCAGTTCATTTTTCAGATCATTTAACATAGAATCTAATTTACTCAGACGACCAAATCACATATATCACTACGACACTCTGTACCTTCCTACTCTACTTCCCTCAAACATAATATCGATCCACTAATACACATCCCACTATGGATAATTTTACTCTGGACAAGCAGCTTTTAAAACAGCCATCTGATTTACCCTCCTTCCTTTAATTTTTCTTGTATATTAATACATCTTTCAGAAAGAAGAAAAAATTCCTTTTTTCAAAACCTTTTAATTTTTTTTTTATATTTTACTTTATTTGGCCCCTCAAAGTATGTACTTGCGAGTAAGAAAGATGTCAAGATATCAAGGCTTAGGGATTTAGTCATCCCTTTTTCAGTCTTATTCAAACGAATATATTTTTTTTCTATAAATTCATTTATAACAATGAAAATAACTAGACAGTTTAATAAGAAATACGATACATCATATTATTTAACATGATAAATAATAATATAAAAGCGTGTTAGAACGGAAATATCCACGTCAACTTCTACCAACCCCTATATATCATTCAAGATATCTATGTTGATTTGACAGATAGTGAACGAATAACTAGAACTTTTCAACTTCCTTTGTGCAAAATAAATGATTAAATACTATCTTTTATAAGTAATAGTAATTTAATACGAATAATGAATCGATAACCCTCTAAAAAAAACTCTAATTTACAATACCACAATATTCAAAGTAGTAGGATATCCTTTCAATAGTGTGAGTCATTGTTAAACTCTGGACTCGTGTTGATAAACTATTAATATTTTAATGGAGATCATGAGATTGATATGCACGCGACGAACATCAGTTTATGTTGTTTGTATATACTTTTTAGTAACTCAAGTGTATGGAAACGTAAAGTTTAAATGATTGATTTTATTAAAACCAAACGATAAGAAATATATTTTCAATCATTTAAAAGTTTATATTACAGGGAAGATAGAGAATGATAATACTTTGCTAGAATTGAAGTTCCTAGCAAAAAAGTTTTTTTTTTTTTATCATGTGTGGAAAGAAAGACAAAAAAGTTATTTCAGAATGCCAAGTGCATGGACTCAATTCCCACGTTTATATTTCCTGTGTCCTACTTGGCTCCTCAAACTCCTATATTTACTCCCTTTCTACATGATATTCAATTAATATAGCAACTAGATTGCTTTATTGCATTACTACAATAGAGTTAAAAAAAATATTTTCCTCAAAAAAGTTTGCCAAAAATAAAAACAAAAATTTCATGCACCAGGTGTTTACTTTGTAAATATGTCATCAATAAATAAACACTATTTGCTAAGATCCGTTATACATCTGAACATTCAGAAAGTCGATTGAAAGTAAATATTTGTATGAATAATCATTTTAAAAAAATATTAGTTGTGCGATCAATAAAGAAAGCAATTTAATTGAGGCTGACCAACTCCTAAAGCTTCTACATGATAATCGTTGAATCACTGCCAGATTCATTTCACACCAAAATTTCACTCTCTTGCCAAAAATGTCACTTCACAGATATTAGTTTAGAATCCTATCTTATTACAAGTAAAACTCTAATAATTTTATCTTTTATTTTTGCTTCTCACACGTTGGTAAAGCTTATTTTGTTCTTACTTGAGATTAATCCTCCAATTATCGTGGTAGCCCATGTGGCGAAAAATATAATTATATAAGTAAGAAACATGTGTCATTAATTTTTGTCTTTACATTTTTACTTAATATTTTTTACTTTGTTGAAAGGAATTTAAAAAAATCCTTATAATAATTCTTAATTTCATTCATGTAAAATTGTTAGAGTTTTACTGTATGTGCATGTAAATACATAAATTATTTAATGGAATACTTTATAAAATAGTATTATTGAAATTCCAAGGTTTAAGAATTCAGTGTAAACATGACAATTATATTATTAAACACTGCGTGTTAAGTCAATCACGACATTTTAATCGTTGATCTTTATATTGAATTGTTGTTATCTAATATAATAAAAATATGGATATAGTTATAATTGATCAAGTACAAAAAGTTAACGCAAATGTGTGTCTATTAGAAAAATATTTATTCATGTAGAAACGAATTACACAATAGTCAAAATGGCCTTCATTATCGATTTAACTATCCAAACGTGTTTATAATTATATAAATGAGTCTATAAATACACATTAAATGAAAGAATTAATTTCCCAATTGGAAAAACATGGCAATTATTGATGAAAGCCATTAAGTAATACTTTTTGTTAATAAAAATGAAAAAAAAAAAAAAAATAATGCAATTTTTTTGTAAAAAAAAGAAAAAAAATAATAAAAAATGAATAAAGAGAATAGTTAAGAATACAGGGTATAATTTAGAAAAATGATACTTTTAAACAAAATAATGTGTATATACCTTGACATGCAACTGTCATAAAATAATCGTTTTCTTTTTTTTTATAAATTGATAAACGATAAATTAACTTTTAAATAAAAATGAATTGTTATTAATAAGTTAAAAAAAAAAAAAAATTAATATAAATAATGAATATTCAAATTGAGATTTACAGAATAATACAAATTTAAATACTCATTGGTTTCAGATTCAATTTTTTGATAGCTCGAAATGCTTACAAATTTATAAAATAGCTAATAAAATTTGAAAATTGTCGACTCATACATTGATTCCTATCCACATACATACGCGCACAGTTATAATAATAATCAATACCTCTCAATATCTTCGAGGCACTAGATTCTAAATTAAACAACATATATAATACATTTTTTCAAGTTATAGCGAAATTTTCATCAATACTTTTCCATTTTGTACAAGAAATTGATTCGCACGTAAATTAAATGTCAGATCTACATTAATATATATTTACAAGATGCTTTGCCCCTTTAAATCATTATTAAGTCTTGAATGTATAATGATTATGATGATGATGTCTACCTGAATTATTACTTTAAGTACTTCACATACATCCACGTTTTTTTTTTCTATCTTAAATAGAACTCATCTATTTCTTTTTTATCTCGACATAAAGAATAAAAAGAAAGTACTAAAAAGTCATTTTAAGATTCAGAGAAATTGTATATAAGCGTACAAAAAATGTTTTTATATGCAACGAGACTACTTTACGCTGAAATCAGCGAGATAATAGTTGTCCATGGCTTATTATCAAGTAAAGACAATATTATACAGAGTATATATAATAATTTTAATCTAAACTATTACGCTAAGCGCCTTATTGGCAAAACGATATTCATGACGCGTTGAATTAATTATTCTAATACGCAAGTACAATGTGACCGAACTAATTATCGTTAAAAGAGCGTCCACAAATTATTATCATTAACGTGTTCTTTTTATATCTGACGATTTAAGTATAATTAACATGTACCTTGAAATGAAGATTGTTAAGAAGACAATAATTTTTTCCACTACGAATGAAAATATTTCATTGGATTAATTATTCGTTTTTCGATAAAGTTTTTTATGTACATTTAAATCATTAGTGTTTGATGTTATTCTGATATTTTTTTATGAATCCAGTCGTAACTGATTTAATTAAACGTAGTTTTGAAATATAAAATCAAAACAAACATTAAATGAAATTCCTAAAAAATTGAAATATTCAGTCTTAAATACAGAACGTCATCGATTAAGTTAGGATTTGACCAATTTAAAATTTCTAAATACTTATAAGTGTTGGCAAAAAACTAGAGGCATTAAAATTGGAGGCAAACAAAGCTTTCAGCTGATAGTTGACAAGGTATAAAGGTGTATCCATGACCCTGTTCTCTTATTTTACTCAGCTACTTCGTGGACGCTCTGTCGCACGAGACTATTTTCACTCTCGTTGACGTACAGAGACAAGGACGTAGTTTCCCTCTCTTCATCGTCTCGTACGTGCTCTCGACAGTTAAATACTGCTACCATTCTTCTTCTCTCTTTTTCTATTTTTTCACTCATGTCTACGCTCTCTTTTTTACCCTTGCACACACATTTCCCCCTAAAGACCAATAGAGAACAAGAGTGGAAAGCACTAACTTGTCAGTACCACGTGCTCTTTTTGAAACTAACAAAACTAAATTATTTGCGCGTCAATTATTATACCAATATAATATCATTTTTCAGATCAATTTTTTCCAAAATCTACTACTATATTTACAAACAGACATATGTGAAGTGGAAATAGATTACATGCTAATAGGTGCATTTTTCAAATTTTATATTTTTCTAGCTAACTATCTTTTTTTCCTCACGATAAAATAACATATTTTGATATATATGTATTTTATAAGTTTTCAAACAAAACTTAACGAATTCTTCTATTTGTTCTTGATAGAATAATAATAATTTGTATTTACTTTCAGAAACGTCATTAAACCGTTGTAAAAATTTTGTTAAAGTTCATAAAGTATAATAATGAAAAAAATGTGTAAAAATAAAAATTACTTACTTCAAAATTTTTACATCAATTTATTACAATTTTTATATATTGTCTTGTCATAATGTTTTGTAAGATTTGTTTGACTTTTAAAATAGAGTGATTACAATTTGTTTATCAATAATTTCACAATAATTTTAACATTATTAAAAATTTCACAATTTTTAACAAATTTTTATCAAATATCTATCTAGTACAATCACTTTATTGCGATAATTAAAATACATTATTTTATCGTGAAGAGATAAATAATTAAAATAAATAAGTCAATTTTTAATCAGCATTTCTTAAATCGCCATGTAGTAATATCATATTTTTTTCAGAGAATCAATAAAATTTAAATTTTTTCTAATGTCGACGTTCATATAATGACTTATAATATGATAATAATTTCTAAATGTTTTATCATAAATTTAGTTTCTCAATAGGAAATAAATTTAAGAAAAAGTAATAATACGGTATAACCGCGAGCATGAAGACTTTATGCGACTCGTTTTTCTTTTAAATTTAAAATATACAATATCATCGATAATAATATATATAAATCAGTCATATTGAATATAATGCACGTAATACATCTATATAATATTGTAGTAATACGTGCACGATATTGAGAATCTTTGAAACGTCTATATCATGTAGATGGTCACATGTACATGTACGTGATAGCATTAAAAACCTACATAGTAATTAATTATTAAATCCTAATATTTGACTTTGGCCTTGACTTCTTCGGCCACTCCACCCCATTTGAGTTTATAGACACGTGAACGCCACTGTATAAGAGGATCCAGAACAGCTTGGAGAAACAAGTACGGTCTTGTAGTTTCGTTGAGTAGCCATCCACACACAAATTCCCACTTATTCAAAGGCAATGGACTATTTTGCACGACACAAAGCATCGTCCAATCCAACATAAACCATAAAAGTATATGAACCAAATAAAAAACTAATGAATCCCATTCAAAAAGCACTGCTGCTGCCCACGAAGCACACGCACCTAACACAAAACATTCAGTGAGTGGCTCTAATATGATTGTTGTAGGAAGCATAGCTACACGGAGCTTAGCCCAACGTCTTAATCTTGCTTGGAATGAATGCATTTCGCAATGGCCACTATTTTGTAGAGCAGGTTGAGAACACACGGTGATACGCCAGCCTCGATCAGTCAGAGACTTGGCATAAAAAAAATCCTCAGCGAGGTAGACGCCAAATTTTTTTAATCCACCAACCTCATCAAGCGGAGCTTTTCGCAATAATGCAGACATACCAGTATGACAATTAATCCTAAGTACATCTGCTGCCAGGTACATTCTTGATTGAACTGTTCCAAAGTATATTTTCTCGTAGGCCGCAGCAAAGCCTTCTCGATCACATGTGAATGGTAGTTGATGTACAAGAGCTACACCTTCTGTCATATACCTGACCATATCAAATAAAGTATCTTCCTTCATCCTAATTCCACTATCACTGATTAATATTAACTCGTGTTTAGCTGCCTCGTACGCTGGATGCATGTTATTTATCTTTGGATTAACTCCTACTCGACAGCCGCCGATGAAAAGACGAGCATCAACCTGAGGATATTTTTCAAGGAGCTTACGAACTAGCATTAAAGCAGGATCAGATTCATCCTCAACACAGAAAAGTATTTCATAAAGTGGATAATCCATTGTAAAGAATGTTTCTAAATTATTGAACAAGTTTGGATCAACACCCATGAGCGGTTTGATTATTGAAACACCAGGAAGCGGAACCTCATAACTTGGAACTTGTGCTGGCTTTCTGTGAAGTTTCCATCGACCCGTGATCAAAGCTAAAATGTGTACAATCCACATTCCTAACCAGAATATCATGAAGAATATTGCAAACCCATATAGGGTGTATACCATAGAGCTCATGTTTGGCCACTGTTATCACGAAATCTCCTCTCTCTTTCTTGCTTCAATCCACTATTTGATGATTTTATTTTTTACTTTTTCATCATAATTTCCAATTATCAACTGAATTGTTTAAACATATTAGTGATCTGGTGACTGGTGCGTTTATTATTGGCTTTTTTTTTTGTATATTATAAATGATTATTATCTTACTGTGAGACATTAATTATCGATTATCAATATTATTTGTGGGTTTATTCACACTTTCGATCTTTAAACCGCTTCGTTTCAAATCCTTTTAACCGACCCGTTGGTGTCTGTGGTCTCAACATGCCTCCAAAGTGCAGTTTACACGAAACAACGACCCAGAGACGTTGGTCCAGCGTCGTAATCACGAGTTGAAAATTCTCGTGATTAAACACTTTGTGCTTTGGATACATTCAAGCTTTATTTATTTGATTAATTTTGCTTTATGTTTAGGATCCTCAGTGGCGTGCTTATTGAAACAATTGCTCGTTAAAATCGGAAGCCGAATGTACTAATGAATGCACTATGTTGCACTTTTCCCACGAACCCGCCTTTTCCTGAAGCGTCGACGTCTCCTCGTGCTTAAAACAGCCGGAGAATGGCTACCTTCGACCAATCGATCAGAAGAAACTCCTGTGGATTCACTAGTTTTGCCGATGTAACGTTCCATCAGCTTTTACGATTTTATTTTCTCTATTTACGATTATTCTGCACAGCAACTGTTTCTTTGTTTTTATGTACACTTATACACTTTACGCTAAATACACAATTGTACACTTACTGTCTCGTTGCATGCTGATGCTGAACTCTCCGATGATTCTGCAACGAATTCCATCTCGTTTAATCACTCGTTATACATTTTTTTTATGCGTCTAAAATCTTCAACGTTTTAACTTGTCTATTTTCTTTCACAATTATGACAATTTAACGATTTTTTTACCTTACATTGATTACAAATACATTTTGTATCGTTATAAAACCGCCGGACACCGTACGGCGTCGACGAGAACTGGCATCTGACATATGACAACCGGCACTCTGGCACACCTGTCAAACAAGACGTTCGTGGTCGATTCTAGAATGATTCACCACTCACTTCGTGTTAGACCTGCGCGCGCCATCTTTCGCGCGTTATTCTTGTTTGATTTGAAATCTTGATAAACTCTAATTGAAATTAACTAATAACTAGCTTATTGAATTATTTTTAGGTAAAGATCTAATTATTGATAGAATGCAAAACTTTGTTAATTAATTTTCATTCATTTTGTTACAGTGAAATAACTCTCTATATATTCACAAAATCAATTAATTCTTGATTAAGTAATCCAACTTCTCTAGCTAGTAATGATTTGTTATAATAATTAAATAACTGCTAAATTCAGATGTTTATGTTAAATATTATAAAATATTATAATTTAAATAGAGTATTTTATAGATAGTAAAAAAACCAAATTAGTTAAATTAAATAACGATATAACCACAAATTATCAACCAACCACAAACATCCGTTAAAGGTAGATAATGAATTATAAAAAATCTGATTCATTAATAATTGCATTATATTCCATGACTCAGCTTTTATTCTTAAAAATCAATTGATTTTTGAAACTAGAATATGCAAATATTATAAATAAAGATAATTAATAGTGAATTGGAGTAAACAAAAATGAATAAAACGGAGCATTGTATGATGTGAATGTTTATAAATAAATGTTAAATACAATTTTATATTATTTTGCTCTAAATTATTTATTTGTGGAGAAGATAGACACTTTTCTTAATCAATATAATAATTATGTAAAACAGTAGACATAAACATTAGAAATTGATAAACAATATTTGTTGTTATAAATTATAGATATTAATAATTGTTTTAATAATAATGAAAAAATACAACATAATCTATAAAAAATGTCTTTTTTTTTCTTAATATTTAGTTATGAAAATTAATTAAATAAGTTTAAATGCGAGATGAAGATTCTTACACTACGAACAATTAAGAGAGCATTAATTTATATAATATTGATCATTAAAATACTTTTGAATAAATAATCACAGGACAAATATCCTTCACGTTTTAACAAGAATTTAGAATATATAATTAAAACAGGAAATCTCAAGGGCTGCAAGGCAAAAGTACAAAAGTTTCAGCTATTAAAGTTTCTTATCTCTTTTCTCTGATTTTTGTGCATTAAAACTATTATATGAATGTACCTAAAAACTCATCTAATCTTAATAGATATCATTAATTTAATTACAAGTGGATCACATTCCATTTGCATTTTTTTCATTCAATATATACTTTATAAATTTATCATCAATAGAATTTTAACTTTAAGACATTAAGGGCGGTAAATATTTATTTAAATTCCTTTATGAATAATCAGGCCATTGCGAAATAAATTTTCTGTAAACAATTAGCAGTAATTATTTTTTTAGAATATTACCAGTACAATATTTTTTTCATACTTTTGGCCTTAACATTACTTAATTGTTACTCATTTAATTCAATATTCTTTACGATCTCTATTTACAAATAATTTAAAATGTTAACACTTGAGCCTATTTATTTATTTATTACTCTTCTTACAGATAACTTCAGCACACTTTATCATATATATGTATACATATGCATATACATATATCATTTTCATTCATTTAACTTTTCTCATTTTTTTTAAAATATATATATATATATTTACTACAGTAAATAATTCACTTGATTCGCTGTTTCAGGCTATTATAAGTAGATTATAATAGCGTAATCGTTTTCATACTGTTATTTACATAATTTATGTAATATACTTTAGTCTTCAAAGGCAATAAGTATTCTATCGTGTACGTTAACGAATCGCCTGAAGGGATATATTTCACTTATTTCTAGTTTGACATTGTAACAGTTTAACGAAGAAACACAACTTTCATGAAGTATTTTTGTTACATAATTTCTACAGGAATTGTCACTTTTATTATAACATAAATTAATTTTTTTATAAAAATACTATTAACGGTCACTCAGATACCAACGTTTTAATACAATTCCAACTACATAATCAGAGCCGATAACGCCGAAGCCATCAATTAGTTATTATTAATATATTGATTTAAGTATTTATTTCAATAAGTCGATTATTTATAATCTACATGATAAGTATTTTTAAATTAATTTTATTCTATTTCTTGTCTTTTTAAAATCAGTATACTTTTTTCTGCTTTTTATTTTTTCTATCATTTGTATTAATTTTACAAAAACTTTCCATGTAAAAAAAAAGTTTTAAAATGTTTTTTTATCTTTACTTCGTTTAATGTCACAATTTAAATATTTTTGTATCTTATCTAAGTTGCACGGCAGAACCTTTGGTAGAATAACCAAACATTTGGCATATAAAGATGTTATTTATTTTATTACTAATTAATAGATGTAAAAAGGCTCAAAATCCAATGCTTTTTTTTAATTATAAGTAATAAATACCTGAATTATTTCCTGATCTAATTGGATTTTTCAATTCGAACTAACTGAAGTTATGTAAAATTTTTCTTAATTATCAATTTTTTTTTTATATTACAACACAACTACAGTTCTTTTATATTATCACTATGCATACATATAAATACACACATCTTAATCGATATTTAGTATTTCATATGTAATATATCTAATGTATCAATATTTTTTACGCACCTAACAAATTAATAACATGATTGTTCGTGATGTTATAACATAAAATAAGTTTTACTATCAAAAAATTCTATTAAAAAAATATTACAATAATTACTCATAGTTCTACAAATAATGAGCATCTGCTCAGGAAGATTTCACATACTTTTTTCACAGACTTTTAATTAACAAAAACTAACCGATTCAATATTCTATTTACAAGATAGAAAAAATCGGATAAATATGAGAGAAAACAGGGCCACACCCAATTTACAATGCGCCCTCCTCTTTAATTATTCTAATCACGATTGATTTTTACGACATATTTATGACAATGTGTGTTCAAACAAAATCCACTATTTCAATTTATTGTGTAGTTTAATATTAAGAATAATCAATAATTAAATTCAAAAAAATAAAACAATAGAGAGTAAAAATAATTGAAATAGCTGTCAGGTACCTAAGTCATTTTTTGACAACAATTTCACTTGCATTGACCGCAGCACCGTGTGAAAGGAATAATATTAATAATATTGTTATTATAATGTTGATTAATTGGAAAAATTATCTATTATTGAACAAGAAATATAAATAACTGTATTAAAAAATTTTTATCAAATCACTCGCATTCTATTTATCACTCATAATATTAAGTACTTTAATTTAGTTCAATTTTTTAAAATGTGTATCTAATAATTGTTTTTCTTCATTTAATTATTGCAAAAATTTATTTAAGTTTTTGTTGCAAAAATTTTCATTCAATTTAAATTATTGAGCATTTATTCTTTGAAGTGAATTTTAAAGTCAAAATTAATTATATCTAAATATCATAAATTCATTTCAATGTAATAAATCAAATTAAATTTAATATTGCAATTGTTTTTGCAACTTACTATTGTTCAAAAAAGTATTAATTAATTTAATGGTAAACAAAACATTTGTTTCAGTAATTTTTTCCGAGGATTGTCATCTTCTACGTTGTCATAATCATCTTCATTGGAATTATCAAGAGTTACGTTGTTATTTTCTGTAGTGTATGATACATCATAAGTACTAAAAGAATACGAGCAGTCCGTACTCTCATACCGAAATGGCAATGGCGGTGATAATCTGTATTCATGGTAGTTATTGTCATTCTCATTTTCCTCGGAGTACCTCATCATCAGAATATTATTGTGTCCATGATCATCAGAATTGTAATCCTGGAGAGGGTAGTCTAATTGAAGAGATGCTAATTTGTCTTGAAGTTGATAGATATAGCTTTGGTGAGGGTATGGATGATGCAGTTGTTGTTGATATTGATGTTGCCTTTGCTCGTAGTCATAACTGGAGCAATGTTAAAAAAATCAATGGTGAACAATCAACGGCTCATTCATGCTGCTATCGATAAACCAATAATTCTATGAAGCATTAATTTATCGATTATTAATTTAGGAAAATTCCTATTATTTTTCTATATTTTCAAACAATATAGGATATTGAAATTTAAAAATATAAAATTACTATGGAGTGAAAAGATTAAATTTAACATTACTGAATTATTACTCTTTTAGTTAATTTTTCTGTATGATCTCTATTAACAAATAAGTTAAAACTTGAGCCTATTTTTTATTGATTAATTAATTTTTCTTACAGATAATTTTGGCACACTTTATTATGTATATATGTGATTATGAATTTAAAAATATTAGCGTTTGTTTCAATTGAATAAAAAAAAAAATACTGTATAAATAATATTTGATAATTACTCGTATTGCTCTTGTCACACGCAATCTTCCAGAGACATCAGTAGTGGATTCACGTATTCAAATCCCTCAAACTCACTTTGATCGATTTCATCAATGATTCGGCTGTAAAATAAAAACAATAATTAGTTCAGTTTGTTTGATGAATCAATGGTAAAATTCAAATGAACAAAATATGAATGTATTGTTGTAAAATGATTGGACTAATTGTTGATTGGAAACATGATTAAACAACTTACGGATCGTCAGGCGTCAAACGAACGATCTCATCTATAAACTCAGGCGGGAAGTTTGCCAAATCACGATCAGATTCCAGACGTGGTTTGTACGGTGGTGTGACCTGCTTTTGTTCCAGCTACAACACCAATTAGTATGCAAGCATGAAAAATTCAACTCATTATTTCTCAAGAGATATAATACTGAGACTAACAAGAAAATTGAACAATGTATGATATATTCTGTGCAGTTTGCATCGAATGAGAGAGTTCTGAGAGAAGCGTAAGTCAATAAAAAATAACGACTGAAATGTAATAACTTTTTTTTAATCTACGATGAATAAATAACTAGTATGTTTGTTCCAAAAAATAAAACTAAAAAATAATCTTTCTGAACAAATTTTCGTTGAATATTCATAAAGTTTAATTATTTATTATTAGTTTAGAAATTTAATTAATCCTTATTTAAAAACGACTTTTAAAGAACTTTCATTTTTAATTTGCTTAAATCTACTTAGTTCAGAATTCTATAGATAAATTTTAAATACATTAAAAATAAATCATAAAAACATTTTGATCGCAATAAATTTTCTCAGACTTTAATGAATAGAATTCTTTACTTACCAATTCCCAATCGATTGCTTTGAAAAAGGGATGAGCAACGATGTCAAGAAAAGCAGAAGGACCACGTCCACAGCCAAGTCTTTCATTGGGATCCTTGCAAAGGAAGCCTTTGAGGACGGAAGCTGCTTTGACCGAAAGAGATCTCGGAATACGAATAGTCTTTTGTAGAATCACTTGGAACAAATAGTCCTCGGTATTTTGATCAGGATTTTCTGATGCACCAGCAATATCAAATGGACTACGTCCAGCCAACATTTCATACAGCAATACTCCTAAAGCCCACCAATCAACAGAGAAGCCATAGTCTTCACCACGTAATATTTCTGGTGCAATATAATTTGGTGTACCACAGAAAGTAGCTGTTGTATCACCTTCTCTAACTCCTTCTTTACACATTCCATAATCAGTCAGTTTTACATGACCCTCATGATCTAACAGAACATTGTCCAATTTAAGATCACGATATATGATTCCTTTTTTGTGTAAAAAGTTTAAGGCAAGGCTAATCTCAGCAGCATAAAATCGTGCGTGCTCTTCAGGAAGACGACGTTGTCTCTGCATGTGGAACATGAGGTCACCACCGCGTACGAATTCGATGACGAAAAACAAACGCGATGGCGTTTGGAAGCACGAATGCAGTCCAACAAGGAATGGGTGATTCGAAGCTGTCTCAAATACATGTTTTTCTGTTTGTACCCAATCAATATCTTCATCGTCTGTTACCAAGGCCTTTTTTATTACTTTCATAGCGTAGATTCGCTTTGTACGCTTAAGCTCTACCATAAGTACTTTAGCATAAGAACCACGCCCAATAACTCTAATTAGTTCAAAGTCATTGAGCGAATATTGCCTCTGCATTTCACCGGATCCGTCAGCTCCAGCTATCGCATCCAAAGCTAATTCTTCTCCATCATCACTAGTACCTGAATATTATGAACATATTAATTAAGTTACAAACTTTTCATGTCCATCATTTACTCTTTATATTTTTAATTATCTCATTTTGGTTAATGAAAACTTACGTGCTCGTGGAGCTTCTTCAGCTACCGACTGCTCTGCGGTTTCATCGTCTAAATTTGCACCAGGACTACACTGTGGTGAGTCCGGCTGAGGCTGATCACCATTTCTATCAGTTACTTGTTTTATCAACGATTGTGGATCTGTCTGTGATTGTTGCTGTTGAACAGTCAAGCAAGGTTTCCGCACTACCTTATGACACTTTTTGTGAACCAAAAGTTTGCATTGGATGCATTTAAAGCCTTGCCTACCCAATCCCCATATACGATCTTGACAAAATGCACAAAATGCTCTCTGAAAATAACAATTAAATTACTTTTAATATTTTCTCTTGACCTTTTATCGTTTTTTATTTCATTTTTTTTGATAGTCATGAAACAATTATTGAAAATTTCATTATTAAACTCACTCGATTAAAACGTTTTGCCTGGAATATATGGCCATTAACCCGATATAATTTTCTCCATCTTCTGGCTCCTCGTCTGTATATACTCCCTGTTGGAAAAATAAATACACCGTTAGAATATTGACAATTTTATTTTTACATCAACTTTTCAATTATTTTTATATATCAATAATGTAAGTTATCGTGAACTCATCTTGCTCTTAACAAGATATAAATTAAATACTAAAATATTTAACATTTAGAACTAAAATGAAAGAGTTAATAAATAAAATATTTATATAACTAAAAATAGATAAATCATCATTAGTGTTTTTATTCATTACTTGACACTAATCAATTTTGATACTGTGAGTATTATACACAATTGCACTAGTGATAAGAAAAGCAATTATTGGTTGTAGGAAAAAAAAACTTTAATTGACATTAACTGTATCTACTACCTATCATATACAACCAAAATGAAGATTTATTATTGTCATGTGGCCTAAATAAATTCAATTTAATTTATGTTTTCCAATATATTAAGTGTTTTTTAGTGAATAATAATTGATACATTTTGAACTGGAGTAAAATAATGAAATAAAATAGTACCAGAACAAATACAAAACTGCAAGAAAGTTGTTGTCTTATGACAGTAATCCATAGCAACTTGTGGATACCAAATAAATTTCATGACTAATTTTAAGTAAACTTTTACTACCAATAAATACGGAAAGTGTTAGACAATAAATGTAAGCAGAAAGGTATATATATATAAACACATTAGAAGAGAGTCGATAAATTTCAAAGAATTTAAAGCTTTAATCTCCATAATGACAGCAGACGAGGAATACAAGAGTGGCACTGGCCATGTAATATTCCCACTGTTCTACAATCAAATTTGGAATTGCGCCAGATCTAATACCAATTCACTCATAATTAATAGTTCTATCTAAAATAATGGAATTTGACCCCCTCGAAGCTTTTACTGTTTATTGGAGCTTGGATTCCAATATCTATTATCCATTTCAACAATTCTCTTTATCATATATCTCGGGAAATAACCTGAATTAATAATTTTTTGACTGTTGTAGAATAGAAAAAACTTCGAATAAAGGATTTCAAAACAAAAAAGGATGAGCTTTATGAAAGTTGATGATTCAATAAAGCTAAGGGGATAAAAATAGGCGCTTTAACATAAAGTATATTGAACTAGTTTTATTTTCTTATTAAAAAAAACTCAATATAGTATGCTAACGTGTAATCACTTCTGACGTTGCTTTAATATTCATTATGAAATGTATAAAATTTAATATTCCTTCAAAAATTATATCACAATTAATATTGCTATGATCATTGGCAATGTTGATAGAAAACTTGACATGTAAAATATTATTTATGACTATGAAAAAATTAAATTTATAAATTTTTTTTCTCTTTATCTCAAGCTGAAAATTCCAGTGTACAATAGATAAAATAGAAAAGAAGAACAAACGAATACAAAAAGTATTGAAAAACTCAGTCATTGGCAGAATTTCGTAGATGTGTATACCATTGTTTTTTTCAACTCACCTTTTTCATTTTCTTTTCTAGCAAAACCTATTTTTCGTTACATTTCAATAATTCTGAATTGAAAAATCTCATTTGTAATAGTTGCTTGATCGACATTAACTTATCTTTAGATATTTTTTTATTTATTAATTGTTATGATAAAATTAAACAGTGAAATTATCTATAATTTCACGTGGCTCCCTTTTTTTAAGTTAATTTTTTTTCTAAAAATAAATAATATTTTATTTTTGAAATTTACCGTTTAATTATAAATGTTACTTGGGTGAAGCTGACATTTAATATTGATTCTACTGATCTTTAATTCATCATTGAAATCTTATAATATTAGGTACATGTTTGTACAAGTTTCTAAAAGCATTACAGAATATCTATAAACTGATTGCATGAACAATTTATAGCATCTAATCGATAATTATCTATTTTATGTTAATGTTACAAGAGCGATATTAAATTAATCTCATAGCTCATGTATGTTCCAGAAATATTCCTCTTAATTTAGATGTTTAATTAAGAATTAATGAGCATTGGAATATTTGTAAATAAATTTTTTAACTAAATTAAATTATAACAAGTAAATTAAGAAGCTCAAGATGAGCAAAGAATTGAAACTGACATAAAGACCACGTCAATTTTATTTTTAAATAATTTCCATTTTTCATTTAGATATTTTAACATACAAATTAAAGTTTAATGAATTTTATAAAAATTTTATTAGTTAACTTTTAGCTTTTTAGAGCAATTAAATGAAAACGAGTTTAATAGCCACATTACTTTTAATGGTGTATTTATTTGTTGAAAGTTTATATTTCTTCCTTAATTATTTCTAATTAATTCATGGTTCAACTTCTTATTTGATTAATTTAAAAAAAATCTTCTTTTAAATATTAAACAAAAAATATATTATTAATTACTGCTTTTTATAAATATTTAAATTTTATTTAATAATTCAATATTTTCTATTCTTTTACCTTTGTTAATTACAAGATATCTTAAATAAACTTTAATAAAATTGAAATCATATTTTATTCATCGTAATAAAAAATTAGTCAGTCAACAATCCTCAATAATTTAAATCTTTTATCGGATTAAAAATTAAAGCTCAAAGTAATTAACAATTGTGATGATGTTAATAACTGTAACTAACTATTCAAATAGGATCAATTAAATAACAAAGCCAACAAGAAATCAAATGTTACTCACTGTCTTCTCCCTGACATGGCATTCCTGGTGCTGGTGGTACATTAGGAAACACTGCAACATAATGAAGAAGCAACTGATTAGATACACAAAGTTCTCAAGTAGTAGGTACTAATTATAATTAGAAAACGAGAGCAAGTAATATAATATGTAAGAGTACATGGCTGTGACGTATTGTGTATGTTAACAGTCAGAAACCAACAACAGATGGTGTGGCCTTGCAATGTGAATAAGCATCAATGATTCAGAAGCTCTGGAGAGCAAGTTCTTGCGCATTGGCTGTTGTTGGTGCATATATGCAGCAAGGTATGGCAAAAAGGGTGGAATATCATCTTGGCTGGTTCCATATCCTCCAGCCATGTGACCCAAAGTGCTTGGGTTTAAGATGTGTTGGCTTCTATGTCCTACTTTAAGCTTCCAACACAACATAGTGGCATTAGTTATATACGAAATCTCTAGGTCTCTTTCTCATTCAGAAGATAAAGCCTCTTTCCCCTGGCCCCTGTTCAATTGCAACTGGTGGTGAAGCACAAGGTGGAATCGGTTGCAATTCTATTGCCACTCGGTTCGATCGACCGTGCATGGCACATACATCATCTCCTGCTGTGTGACGTAAAGCCATGGAGGCTCGGTTTTACAATCATCCAAAGAACGTCTAAATTAAGACGAATGGATATGATGCTGACCTAAAAGCTCGTTTATTTAAATGGATGAATAGCTTTTTTCGATGTCGTTTAATTACTCAAGTACTTGATATTGTAATTAAAAGTTTAAATTGATGGTGTTACCCAAATTTCATACATTTTCGGCCATATTTAACAATACATCACTGAGGATTTATTGCTGTTATCTAGTTTCAATTGATCACTTTGAATAATGCACCTAAACAGATGTTTGCAAATTTATGAAAGTTACAAACCAACAGTAATGATCATTAGATTTAATGCTTGCTTTAAATGTTTGTGAGAATTTATTTTATTAATATCAAAGAAAAAGGTGTAATTTTTTTTAAATGAAAAGATGATGAGTTAATCGTTTGTTTTTTATATGAAAGTGTTCTTAATTACAAGGCGACCTCAGTATAGTGTAGTTAGTGAACAAAACTAGTCTCTTTGAATGTGTGTCATTTAATTGTCGTATAGCTTTTAACACCTCAAAATAAAAATAAAGGCTTGAATTTCAACGTCTACTCCAATTTATTCAACTCAAAGCTACCCTGAATGATATTATATACGTGTCGAGAATAGCCTTTTTAATTTTTGCAGGACAAAAGTAGAAAGCTAATTAATTTTTGGACAAAGCACTGATGTCACTTTTGTAAAATTAATTCAGTTTAAATATTAAAAATGAAAATTCTCCAAAAATATATATTTTTTCATTAAAGCCTTCTTTTATAAAAATTTCATCAAATAATTAATTTTCCAGAAAGCTTTCCCTTTCAATATAATATGACCTATTGAAACTTATAGATTTGAATTGAATTCCTGACTTAATGTCCATCGTGGTAGCCAGCCTGTAAAGTTAGCAGTTACAGTTTGATCTTCTTAAAAGTCCTTCTTATGAGAAAGCCAAAGAAGAAGAGACATATCCAAAGTTTCATTGCAATCTAGAGCACGTCTGTGTGCACATTTTTTTGTTATAATATCTTTTCTCTCTTTTTCTCCTTCTCTTGTTCAACCCAATCACGTTTTTTTTAAGCTCAAATTCTACTTTTTTCTATCTCACTTTAGTCAAAGACAACTTTTTATTGTCGAAGACTAGTATCCTAAAAAAAAGCAGAAAAACTGTGCACTGTGAACCTTTCAACAAAAATGTCCTAAAAATACTATTGATTATATTTTATACGTGAAACACGAAATTCCACTCAGGATAATTACAGTGACAATTGAAAAATTATATCAAGGTCTTCGGTCACTAGCAATATAAATAAACAATAAACTTATAACTTGGCTACTACATCACATTTATAAGAAATATTTTATTCATTCACTTTGTCTTTTTGTTGATCAGAAAATGCACTTTGAGTTAATTTCATTGTATCAGATGTATCTCTAAAACTTAGCTAACAAATTTATAAAATTGAATGAATTATAAGAAATTATATCAATTTGTTATGTAAAGTTTATAAATTTTATAATAAAGAAAAATATTCTATAAATATTTCATAAAAACATCTGTATTTTTTTATGATTTTCTGTGGCTTTACCCATTAAAAACAAATTATCTAAAACATTACATGGTACTTGGAAGCAATTTTCATGGTAAATAAAATTTCTTTTCATTCTAGAATGTTAAATTAGACTTGTAATCATTTTAATAAAACTCGAGATGGTTTTTTTTTTTTTTAATTTTAAAAGAGCATTCATTGTATACAGAGATCATATTACTTAACTGATCATATTAATTCCAAAAATATAAATATTAAAGTGATTAAAGCTTTCATAATATATATTATACTGAACAATAAAAATACATTTTAAAATCCATTTCATTCAGCAAAAATCACGTTTCCATTATTTTACATGAATAAATTAATAAATCTACAAAGGTTGATTTTTAATTGGAATGATCCAATTGCTCAGTTATTCTGGACTAGTGAGAGAGTTTTTTTTTTTTTATATCTCAGCTGAGATTAGACAGAAAGAAACCAACTCTGTTGGAAAATTTTAGCACAAAAAAAAATGTACACAAAAGATAAAAATAAAATAGAAAAGATTTTTTCTACACAGCCAGCCACGTTCATTACATAACGACATGGTGCCTGAAGCGTTACGATCCCCTTAAACTTTAATATCGACGAGTAATACCTGACTCCAGAGACCTTGACGGTTATTGAAGTTGGTCGAGAACACACTGTGGTATATCACTGGATAGCCGTACGTCAATGGAATTCTGAACATGATATCTCTTGTATTGAGACTCATCTTGTCATCAGAGTCAATATTCGTATTCACAGCTTGTCTCAACACTGTACACTTAGTGTATAATTAAACCAAATAATTGTCTTAATATTCAAACACATATAATAATAACTTGAAAACCTCAACTTTCATGAAGATTAAAGCATCACCCAATATCTATCTATCTATCTATTGATCAATTCCCTCCAATATCTTATATCACATCATCACTACATGAACAGATCAAATTTGCAATCAATTTGATAGAACTAGATTAGAAACTTGGAATGAAATATTTTATTTTTTTTTGATAGAATAAAATTTTTTTTTAAAATAACTTTTAGAAATGAGATTTAGAAAAAAAATTTCTACCATTTGTCTACGTCTATATCTGATTTTTCACACCTGGTTCCATCAAAAATATCTCAATAACCGTCCAAATACTGAAATAATTGTAAACCGTGAGTTTTTTTGAGAGAGATAAAATGGATTTAAAATAACTATCAATTAATTCGTTTTATCTTGTGTCATGGCACCGGTTAAGCAGATTGGATTTGAGGTGATTGTTATCTAGGTAATGTCTTTAACATTAAAAATTAACAGAAAAATTATCCTTTTCGGTATTTATGCTTTAATCTCTTTTTTAATATCAATAAAATGTTTATGAAATTCTGGTTTAAGTTATTAGCAACAGTTATTAACGGATAATTATTGTTTTTTTTTAAAAAAATTAATTTATATCAAGTTTATTTGTTTTTCAATTAAAATTTTCGTCTCTTTTAATTAGCATTATAAGACTTAAAACTTTAGTTTTATTAAAAGATTGATTGCAATTAAGAGTTTAAAGAAGGCAATTATTAAGAAAAGGTTAATAAAATTTAATTTTCCAGCTGATTTGTTACGTTGATTCTTATTTTTTTTTCTGCACTTGGACTACTGAATAATTATTTTAATAATGAAAATACGATGTTATTTAAAAGTAAAATTTGAAGGAAGATTCAATGGAGTGAAAAATAATTATTAATATTTTTTAAAAAATTGTAAATTTTTACTCCATCATATGTTGAAGATTCTATTAATAAAAACTAGTCTTTAATTAAATTGAAATAAAGTTCTAAGATTCGTAAAATTATGAGAGTCATGAAGGTGTTGAAAATTTGGTACACGAAAAGAATTTTCTGTGCTAATTTTAAGCAAAAGATTGACAAGTCAAAATTTAAAAATATAAAAGTAAAAATATTTATATCTAAAAATGAATTTGAAGTTCTCATTAGTAAACTGATTACTCACAAGGCTTTGAAGTGTAATAATTACTGACAAAAACTCCAAATTCATTATTGCACAGAAATATTTTTACTTTTATGTATCGAAATGTGATTTTGTTATTCCGTTGGTTATGATTAAATAAAAAAAAATTCCCTTCACGCAAAAACTAATAAGGTAGTAATTATTGGAAAAAAATTTCCAAGATTAGAATCTTCACACTTGTCGTGTTATAAAAATTATTTGAATATTCAAAATGCACGAAAGTTTGTATAAAAGTAAAATTTTCTAAAGATTAAAAACATAACTATCAATTATCGTTATCTTTTATCACATTGTTAGTAAAAATTGGGAATTCCGTTAAATATCTAGAGATATCGTTAAAAACATTTCTTATTCTAAAATTCCTGAATATTAATATAATAAATAATTTATTACAATTATTTTTTCTGTTTCCTGAGCATTAAAGAAAAAAAAAAAAATAACTACGTATAAAAAAGATTTTATTGATTACTTCATAATTTGACATAAATTTCCACGGAAAAACCTTGTCAATCACTCACAAGATTCTGTTTATTATTTATTACAACACAAGTTAAAACTATTTATTACAACACTAATAAAAAATCAAGATGATTGCAAAATAATAGAAGAAGTAAAAAAAAAAAGAAAAATAGTGAACATGTTTAAATCGTCAGTTTAGTTTAATTCGACAGCAATTAATGACGTAGACATGGCAATTATCGGGAAAATTAGAAAAATGAATGAAATTACAATTTTCTTCCTGATTTACCACCATCGACACTTGTCACTCGAGCTCTGACGACCTGTCGAATAGACCACGAAGCCCCGAAGCTACTACGAAAGTCAGTCACGAGTAGTCTAGTCTAG